CGTCGAAGCTTCCAGAATGTTCTAGAAGGTTCTAGAATGTTCTGGAAGGGTCTCGATCGTGCCTAATTCCTAGAATCGAGCGCAAAATTCCCGGCATGTGACGCAAAATTCCCGGAATCGAGCAAAAATTCTTGGAATCGAGGGTCCTGATGACATCACTTCCAGAAATCGTAGAGCTCACGACGGCAACTTAGCACGGACACCCACCTTCGAAGGCTCTGGAGTGTCGGTATTATGTCGGTGCAGGAATCTATATCCAGAACCCCCAAACTTATACTGCTACTGCCAAGACGTCGTGATACGAACTAAAACAGGGTACGTCTAGTCCGCGGACGTCTTACAGCCGCGGCGATATTAATTTCAAAACAATACCATACGATGGTTTCAGCTGAATCAGTAAAAAAAATGTCACGATTTTCTTATAGGAAAATATAGCTTTCTTATTCGTGGAAAATCGGCTAGAAAAGTTTTAATCGTGAAATAAATTATGTATTATCGGTCGCTCGTTCGTCGATCACGAAATACGGCGTATCCATAATACGGAAAAAACGGTATAGAGGTGTTGCGTTGGGAGCTGCAGCGATCTGCTGACGTACACCGTTCGAGGTTGCATCAGCATCTCGCCATCGTAGTGTAGGGTTAGAGAGACGAATCATACTACTCTGTGTACATAGGTTTTTTTTAAATTTATTTATATTTATCAATTACAATCAACTGGTGCCAGTAGATCACACCAATATTGCGATGACCTGTTTTTTAGATATTGCCTTAGACAGTACTGCACTGACCATCGCACCGATCGTACAACAGCATTTACTACAATCATGTACAAGAAGCAAGTTCTGCTCTCCACTGTGTACGGTCTAAACCAATCGTTTTCGAAACAAGTGATCACCGGCTTCTCTTTAAATCGTTCGGGAAGCTTATCACCTGTGATACGCATCTTTAATCAAGATTATTCTGGCGTGGAGTTTGAACCTATCGAATGGGCCATCATCACCGACCACTTCCCAGTCATCGACAAATTCTTTACCGCCGAGGATAACATCAAGGAGGTACCTGAGGCTTTTAACACTCCTATTCTCATGCCCACTCATAAGCTAGCCTTCACGTACTCGTACGGTGAGCGGGAAATTATTATCAAACCGGCAATGCCGGTGTCTACGGACAACGATGGCTTGGGTGTTAAAAGAGCTAGGACATACACACCTATGGTTGTCATGAAGAGGGTGTCCTACCTCAATCTCCAGAGGATCCTGCGCTGCGTAACCTTTCAAATAACCAGGCTACGCGAGATTACCGACAGAGCTAACAAATGTAAGGACACACTGATTGCGGAACTCGACCGTCGCGGAGATGACACCTCCTCCAGGGACAACATATGTGGCGATCTTCAGTTGGTTCTGGAGAAGAAAGGCCTGTGGTCACCGGCGCTTAATCAATTATTGTTGGAGCTGCTGTCCCTGTATAATCACGAGTACCTTTCCTTCGTGCGGAGCACCATGGAGGACCAGAACAGCCATGCATAGGGCCTGTTTTCGTAATAAACAAAACTGTACGCTTGATGTTTCTTGCAAAATGTGTATAATATATTTTTA